GCAATAAGAATAGTTCTTAATAGTTAGTTAAGTGAAATTACAGTAAACATCTAGTAAATATACAAGCTTATACAGTTATACTAAATCTCGACCTCGTTTAGATTATTATTACAGTATTTTTATTATCAATTGTCTTTAGTATTACCCCAAATATTTTAACAGGTATAGCGAGGACATACAGGTGACACAACACACAAGAGGCTGGGTTGTTGTGTGCATATATAGTCAGGTAGAGATGGTGGTGGTGTGGAGCCTAACGTCGTCTCCACCTATCTGCCGCCTTCCTCCACTCCTCCGCCCCGGCGTACCTCACTCTTCCACCTAATAAGCAATGCAGTTTGTTGCCGAATGTCATCATCACCATCATCATCAGCAACATCGACAACAACACAGTCATCATCAGACATCAGCCTACAACACTCCCCCGTTCCTGCTTCATGAAGGACTCCTGGGTAGGTTTCCATAATTTCCATCCGTCAACCTTCCTCTTGACAAGTAAACGCCTCCAAACTTTCATTTTTTTTTACCTTATCGGGAAACTGAGGTCATATTTAATTACGTATGATCAGAATTAAACTAATAATTATCTATTACCCAAAAGGGATTCCTAATAATGACTATTGATTCCTTATAATATCAATTGTAGATTAATGTTTTTTCAGTAATTATTATACCGGTTCAGTCGTGACTCACGGCAAGTTACGTGACATTTGGTCATTATCGAGGGATTTAGGTTATACTTTCACCGTGAAGAAAATACAAGTTCTTCTGTAGGAGAGAACATAGAAGCAATTCGTATCAGAACTTGATCTAAATGGAGTATGGCCAGGAGCCTTTTAATTTGCTTATTATTATTAGTTCTTTGAGTGGAAGTCTGATTAAATCTATTATACAGCCAGCCACCCCTTACCATCCTCTTCCATCCCATCTCCAGGTGCCACGCGAAGCTCAAGGTGGAGTGGACTCCGTTTGAAGCAGCATCGATCCCAAACGAGATACAACAGTTATCAGTTCGAAGACTCATTCCCATGCCTCAGTTTCACCACGGGGAGCCAGCTTTTGTCCCTGAGTGAACATAAGTCACCAAGGAAGGTAAAGTCTACCTTCCTTGGTCACAGGTCTTGATCGCTTGTCCGGGCGATACCTCATCCACTCTGAGGTAGGAAACTGCTATTTGGACACAGTGGTGACCAATTGCTTTGGCAGAGGTATTGTTCCTTAATTCTTTACTCATATTTTGTTTTGGCATGGCATTGAATGTACTACTGATTATTATTATTATTATTATTATTATTATTATTATTATTATTATTATTATTATTATTATTATTATTATTATTATCATTAGTATTATTATTAGTATTATTATTATTACAAGTAGTAGAGGTTTTAGTGCTTTTACTTGTACAGTGTTAGTAGCAGGGGAAATGGTTTCAGTCTCAATAAACAAGAATTTACAGATGCCATTGCTCTAAGGTATGGTTGGCCAGTAGAAGGTTTGCCCTCCCAATGCGTGTGTGGCTCTTCCTATGACGTCGATCACGCCATGGTGTGCAAGAAATGGGGCTTCATATGCATGATGCATGACGAAGTAAGGGACCTCACAGCAAATATATTGAAGGAAATCTGCCGGGATGTCATGGTAGAACCGACCCTCCTTCCTTTGGACGGTGAGATCTTCCAACACAGGACTTCAAACACATCTAACGAGGCCCGTGTTGACGTCAGTGCTCGAGGATTCTGGACGCGGGACAGCGAGCTTTCTTCGACATCAGAATTTTTGATCCCATGGCCGCATGTCACCGTAACCTAGCTCTCGATGCTGCACATAGGAGGAACGAGAACGACAAGATAAGGGCATAAGGGGAGAGAATTCAAAACGTTGATCAAGGCAGCTTCACCCCTCTAGTGTTCACAACCTCTGGTGGGATGGGACCAAGTGCAAGATGTTCTACGCCAGACTCCCAGACTCGCGGAGGTGATCTCCGAACAGAAGCAGCAGCTCAGAAGTTATGTTACAGCCTTTATGAGATGTCGACTGTCCTTCTCTCTCCTTCGCACCCTTTCACACCCATCCCAGCACTTCCATGTGCCTATCCAACTTCGTCTTGAAGCTCCCTAGCGTCCCCGATCCTACTATAGCACTCGGTAGCCTATTCCACATATCCACAACTCTATTACCAAACCAGTGCTTGCCTATATCCTTTCTGAATCGGATTTATCTAATTTAAAGCCATTTGTTCTAGTTATTTCGTTATTACTGAGCTTCAGAACATCTTCCATTTTACCCTTGTTAATCCCACTTACCCACTTGTACACCTCTATCATATCTCCCCTAACTCTACGCCTCTCTAATGAATGTAAGCCTAAGCTTTTCAGTCTTTCTTCATATGGAAGGTTTCTAATATTATGGATCATTTTTGTCATTCTTCTTTGTACTTTCTCCAAAGAATCTATGTCCATTCTATAATAAGGACACCAGAACTGAACCGCAATGCCGACAACAGCTGCAGATATTGACTATGAGGCTACAGTCACTGAATGCCGCATAGATCTGAGGCTCATCTAATTCAACACTGATAGGATAGCTGCTTGTGTATTAGGATATTTAATATTAAGGTAATAAAATGGCAGCGAAGGTGTGGCTATTGGGGGAGGCTGGAGGCCACGTTCGTTGTAATGTCATTTAGAAAGTAGCAATACGATTAGTACATGCAGTAGTAGTGAAGAGCCATATCTGAAAAACTGGTCATTGATTCTTTTATAATTTTCAAAGATGAAGGGCACTGGTACCATTGATAGATAAATAGATTACTTTTGGATTTTGATAGATAATATAGATGTGTATTCAGTAAAATCGTAGTACAAGATTACACTGATTTACATCGATGTGCAGGATCGCAAACATTGATTCGACGAAATAGCCAAAAGAACCATCGTATATGTGTTTAATTTTTACTTTTCTCTGATTTGGCGATGGTTTGTCACTATGTAGGACAAACTCACGGCTTCTTGTTTTATGTACAAACATAAATATTAGTGTTTAAGGATTTAGTTTAGATACAGATTGAAAGTTATAACAGTAAGTCTAAAGCTAGAGACAGAAGCCTATTTGTGCATTTCCTATTTTTTGAGTAAGAGTTGAAGCCTATTGGCATATTTAGGCCTATGTTAAAGTAGGAGCTGAAGCCTGTTGATATATTTAGGCCTATGTTAAAGTAAGAGTTGAAGCCTATTGGTATATTTAGGCCTATGTTAAAGTAAGAGTTGAAGCCTGTTGGTATATTTAGGCCTATGGTAAAGTAAAACAAGCTTATCATTGTTCAGTTTATAATTTAAAAACAAAAGCCTATACGTATCCATATTTTGAAGAAAGGATTGAAACCTTTTAGAAAGTTCAATCTTCAATTTAAGACTTAAAGCTTATATCACTTTTGTCAACATTTCGTTTTAAGGAAGGACAAGAACCCTGCGGCCAGCCTTGGTTTTAAAAGCTCTAACAAAGAACCTCCTTTAATTTACTCAAGTTTAGTAACCTTTTAGATTTTTGGCGCGTTGGCCCTGATGTTAGCGGAGGTAAAAAAACAGGGTTGGCCGGCGGGTGGGTGTGAGCTGATGGTGGTGGCGTTGGAGGGCGAGTGTTGGACCAGCACACACAGCTCAGGGTATGATGACATCTTTACTAGCTGGCTGGTTACCTCCCCTTCAACCGCCACCACAACATCGTACAGGAGAAAAATCGAATGTAGGAAAAGTAATCGCTAACCTAACTTCACTTAATCTAACCTACTCTAGCCTATCCTAACTTAACCTAATCTAACATAATTTAACGTAACCTAACCTTTACGTAACCTAAGCTAACCTAACCTAACTAAACCAATCATACAATAGGTTAATTAGACTATACGCTGTGTCTCTATTTTATGACTCTTTCTTTAGCTAAAATTTTGACTTTTTTGTGAAACTTTTATATACCGTTAACAATCCTACTAGCAGAATGTTTCTCAGTGAAGTAAATCAACACCACCAATATTTCACACCGGGTACAGATCCCATTGAAAACACTACTGGAATATTTTACACTGGTTGGAATCTTGCTCGAAAATTTTCTGCAAACCAAAATTATTTCATGTTTAGGTTCGTAAGGTATTTTTTGTATAGGTTGTATTTTGTTATATTTTGTTCTATGGCTTTTGGCTACTTTTGGCTGTGTTGAATACGTATACATGCTTAGCCACACCTATACATACTCGCTGTTCATATATTACCGCGCCTATACATACTCGCTATAACAAGCAGCGTGCCATAGCAGTGTGATGTGGTGGGTATGTGGTGGGCGGGTAGGCAGGTCAGCAGGAGACAGCAGTTGAGCAGCAGCACGAGCTAGGGAAGGAGGTGAAGTATATATCCTTATATGTGGTCATGAACAAGAACTTTCGAGAAGGCGGGCAGGAAGAGCAGGAGGGACTCTCAGCTGGGCGGGTCCTTGGGGGCACCTGAGGCATCACTCCGAGCCCTACACACTCCCCGCCCTCCCTCACCCCACCACCACTACCTACCACCCTTCCTTGTGACGTGAGACGAGCGTATCCTGAAACGTACTCGTTAGGACAATCGAAAAGTGAGGTTTAATGAGGAAAATAGACGAGATGAGTTATGAGTTGGTGCGTGTCCTTGTTGTGGTGTGTGGGGGATGTGTGTGTGTGTGTGGGGGATGTGTGTGTGTGTGTGTGTGGTGGGCGAGGCTGAGGGAGGGCAGGTGATGGAGCCACTAATCCCAGTCTCGTATCGAAACTTCTTGGCCGTGTCCTCTCGGTCATACTGTCCCAGGGTGTACAACATCATGCAATATTTACATTTCCTATACCTTCAAACACGCAGTTGAATCCAAATATAAGCAGGAGTGATTGGTAGGTTGGGCGGGGTGGAGCAGGATACCTTCCTCCTCCCTCTCCCGTCCCCGCCCCCCTCCCGGCCATGTGCCCGCCCACTGGCCCTATGGTGGTGGTAGTGGAGGGCAGCGGCAGGTAGAGTCAGTCAGTGAGTTGCAGCCGTGCCACTAGGACGTACGCTTCACCCAGCTTCCCCCTCCACTCCATGCGTGCCAAGGTACAGTGCCTCCCAACTCTTAACTTACCCCTCACCGTCAGGCAGTGATGACGGCAAGTTCCTCCTTACCTTACTTGCCTCCCCTACTGTTACCAACCAGTCTTTAGTATACTGTACACACACGCCCTCATTTAACTCCGTCTACCACAACTTGTGTTATTTCCTGCCATTACTTCGCGTTATTTTAGTGAGTTGCTGTGTCATGAGAGCCGACAAGAGGGCGGGGACTGCTCTCTGTGTTTGCCTTGTGGCGTCGTATTGGCGCATGCCCGAGTAAAGACTAACGTTGACACTGTTACCCAGGTGGTGCAGCTCAGCCGGGGCCACCTGTCACACCTCACCCACCTTCACCCCACCCTCCCTAACCCACCCCCCCTCACCCTCCTGCTGCTGCACCAAACCTGTTTCCCCTCACCAAATGTCTTGTTATTGTGTGCTGCTGCCTGTGTCACCTGTATTGTAGTGCATGATTTTTATCCTCCCTACAACACGTGTTCTCTAGCACCTGTCCTGTAGTCTTGCAACACCTGTTCTCTAGCTCGTGTCCTGTAGTCTTGCAACACCTGTTCTCTAGCACGTGTCCTGTAGTCTTGCAACACCTGTTCTCTAGCTCGTGTCCTGTAGTCTTGCAACACCTGTTCTCTAGCACGTGTCCTGTAGTCTTGCATCACCTGTTCTCTAGCTCGTGTCCTGTAGTCTTGCATCACCTGTTCTCTAGCACGTGTCCTGTAGTCTTGCAACACCTCTTCTCTAGCACGTGTCCTGTAGTCTTGCAACACCTGTTCTCTAGCACGTGTCCTGTAGTCTTGCAACACCTGTTCTCTAGCACGTGTCCTGTAGTCTTGCATCACCTGTTCTCTAGCACGTGTCCTGTAGTCTTGCAACACCTCTTCTCTAGCACGTGTCCTGTAGTCTTGCAACACCTCTTCTCTAGCTCGTGTCCTGTAGTCTTGCAACACCTGTTCTCTAGCTCGTGTCCTGTAGTCTTGCAACACCTCTTCTCTAGCACGTGTCCTGTAGTCTTGCAACACCTCTTCTCTAGCTCGTGTCCTGTAGTCTTGCAACACCTCTTCTCTAGCACGTGTCCTGTAGTCTTGCAACACCTCTTCTCTAGCACCTGTCCTATAGTCTTGCAACACCTGTTCTCTAGCACGTGTCCTATAATCTTGCAACACCTCTTCTCTAGCACGTATCCTGTAGTCTTGCAACACCTCTTCTAGCATCGTGTCCTGTAGTCTTGCAACACCTCTTCTCTAGCACGTGTCCTGTAGTCTTGCAACACCTCTTCTCTAGCACCTGTCCTATAGTCTTGCAACACCTGTTCTCTAGCACGTGTCCTATAATCTTGCAACACCTCTTCTCTAGCACGTATCCTGTAGTCTTGCAACACCTGTTCTCTAGCACCTGTCCTGTATCCCTGTATCACGTACCCTGTATTCTACCTGTATCACCCTGGTTGATAATGGTTATTTTGGTTGATTATCTTTATTTTGGGTGTTTGTATACCTTCACCGTCTATGTACAGTATATGGTGTGTATACCTGCACTGCCTAGCGACATGGTGAATCATTTTGAACTTATATGACTATTTAACTGAATATCTATCTATCTCTCTATCTATCTCTCTATCTATCTAGCTATCTATCTAGCTATCTATCTTTGGGGCGAGTGTTATGGATGGTCAGTTGATGTTTACCTTTCGTCTGTTCGCTCACCTGCCTTCAGTCTCCTACCTGTACACCCTCACCTAACACACCTGTACACTTAACACATATGCATCTACTACACCTACACACCTACATCTACACACCTCCACACCTACACTTCCACACCTACACACCTCCACACCTACACCTACACACCTCCACACCTACACCTACTACACAGCTACATTTACTACACCTACACACCTCCACACCTACACCTACTACACCTACACACCTCCACCTACACCTACTACACCTACACACTTGTACAACCACCATATCAGGTTTCGCGGGGATAACCACACGAAAAACAAGACAAGTCCACCACACTCACCACACCTGCCACCACAACCTTTATTATTTACTATCATCACTTCCACAACCACAACAATCATCACCAGAATCACCACAATCTTTACTTTCATCACTTCCACAACAACAACAATCATCACCAGAATCACCACAATCTTTACTATCATCACTTCCACAACCACAACAATCATCACCAGAATCACCACAATCTTTACTATCATCACTTCCACAACCACAACAACCACCACCTCTTGATACACCAGCCACCGTCATCACCACAACAATAACAATCATCGCTAGTCTCACCACTACTACCACCATCACTGCTAGAATCGCGGCAACCACCACCACTACTACCACAATATCAAACAGTATCACCACCACCACCACACTCCCATATACCTACATGTGTCAGTGGGTGTGTCACTTACCTGAGGACACACACACACACACACACACGCACACACACACACACACACACACCTGTCAGGAAGAGGCAGTAAGTGTGACCAGCGGGTGTCGGGTGTTGCCAGCGAGAAGTAACTGTGTGTGTGTGTGTGTGTGTGTGTGTGTGTGTGTGTGTGCTGACCCAAACACACAATTTCAATCTGATGAACCAACAATGCACAAGCCACCCCCTCTTCCTCCTCCTGCTCCTTCTGCTAGTGTCGCTTCTGCTGATCTCTCTGCTGTTACTGCTGGTTCATCTTCATCTGCTTTTGTTGTTGAGTTGCTGTTATTTTCTGTTGTTTTCTGCTGTCCTCTCTGCTGTTAAATGCTGCTCGGTCTATTACTGTTGCTGCTTGCTGCTGCTGTTGAGATTCATATGTTAATACTACCCCCCACCCCCACCCCACTCCCCACACACATCCCAACACCCTCTCCCACCCCACACACCATCCCACCACCCACACACTCCCCACACCATCCCACCTCTCTCATACTCCAACACACCTCCATCTCCCCCACCCTCCACACCCCCCACCCCCCCCCACACCCCCCACTGCCCCCACACTGCCCCCCACACACACAAACAGGTCTTGGTCAGGTCGGGACAAAAACTAATGAAAGAACCAATGTAATGATTGTCTTTTGCCTTAAGCCAAACCTTTGTGTGTTGTGGTGCGTTCTGAAGGTTGTGGTGTTTGTGGTAGTATGTGGTGGTGGTAGGGGTAATGGTAGGTTGTGGTCGTGGTAAGGGTAGAAGTAGTGGTAATAGTGGTAGATGGTGGTGGTGGTGGTAGGGGTAGTAGTAGTAGTAGTGGTAGGTGGTGGTGATGGTGGTGGTGGTAGGGGTAGTATAGTAGTGGTAGGTGGTGGTAGGTTGTGTTGGTGGTAGTGGTGGTAGTGTGTGTGTGAGTATTGACGTACAGATTGTGAGACACCACCACCACCAGCCTTGTTATTCTCTCTCTCTCTCTCTCTCATTGTTATTTCTGTTGTCAGTATTATTCTTTGGTCATGCTTCCTGTTGATGTTATACTGTTGTTCTTATCTGTTATTTTTGTTCTTGTTCCTGTTGTCAACGGCGGGAAAGGTTGTCAACAATGAATTATTAGTTTCCGGAAATTTCGTAAAAAAATAGTTTTTAGTAATCTTTGCTAGGAATAAACATGGTCGAGTGTGTGAAGCCTGGTGATTTTGAGCAGCCAATCAGGGAAGAGTATTATCGGAATATTTACACGAGTGTCTGAAGCCTGTTAATTTTAAGCAGCCAATCAGGGAGTAGTATTAGCAATGTTTACATGAGTGTCTGAAGCCTGTTAATTTTAAGCAGCCAATCAGGGAGTAGTATTAGCAATGTTTACATGAGTGTCTGAAGCCTGTTAATTTTAAGCAGCCAATCAGGGAGTAGTGTCTGAAGTTGGGTAATTCTAAGCAGCCAATCAGCGAACAGTATTATCTGAGTGTTTGTTTACGTGAGTGTGATGATTTTTCTCTTTCTGTTTTCCGTGCTGTGCTGCGGTTATCAGACACAGAGGACGTGTGTATCTCTCGTCACTGTGGAAGGATCTCTCTCACACACACACATTCCTGACGTAAAGTGATATTGGAGGTTGTGAACTTGGTATATGGTAAGAGCTAATATGGCCGTCACATACAATCAGGTGTTAGGAAGGTTTCAAGAGGCTTACTATATATGGACTAGTCACCCTTCCTCTCGACACCTCACGAAGCACGGTGTTTATTTGACGTTTGTTATCAGTGTTTATCTTTATTCTTGATGTCATCTTTCCCTCAAAACTTTACATATTTCCATTAATAATAACTTGCTATATCGGACGTTTCCCCCCCCCCTTCTTCTCTCTTTCTCTACATCCCCTCCGTTCCTCTCTCCCCTCTCTCTCTCCACCTCCCCCACCTGACCCCCACCCCGCCCACTATCACGGTACTCCACCCCCGCGTACCCCTGGCGTCCTCCACCACCTCCTAGTTAAGCCTCTCTTGTTGTAATCTAGGTATGGTAGTTGTTTAGGTGAGGTGTTAGGTTAGGTGAGGTTAAGTTTGGTGACGTTAGGTTAGTTAGGTGAGGAACTACCTACCCTGGGGTGGTGTAAGGGCTTGGGATACCATATTGCACGAGGGGTATGGATTACAGGGTCTCTGGGGTAGGGTAGGATTAGGTAAGGTAAGGTAGGGTTAGGGTAGAGTTAGGGTTAGAATATAAGGTAGAGGCCAGATACCACCCACCCCCTACCCCTGAGTGAACATAAGGCAGGTTCCCTTATCTCTTAGGCCGAGGTTAACGAGCTAACATACACACCTCCCTCGTTGTTAACACTGATAAATTAACTCAAATTAACAAGGCTGTAGAATGTTTGTATGTCAGTTTCAGATTAAATAGGTTTAGGTTGTTATAATTCCTATCTTAATTGGGTGTGGTAGCATTGGCTCTCATTAGGCTTGTGGCTCTTTGAAATTGGGCCTTATAGTCCTCATGGGTTGATTGGAATTGGTTTTGGGTATGATATATTTGGTTTG